GAAATCATTCTCACTTTACTTTTCCTTGAGATCACTAGGCAGCTTACAATACAGGGTCTCATTCAGTGAATATTTTTATTTTCTGAAAGGCATTCTGGGAAACAGAGGTGGTGCTGAGGGAGGATGGGGTGAACAGTGTTTTGCTTGGTGGTCTGCTGGCTTTCAACTTAAAAGAAGAGGCAGAAATCTTCTGATGCAGGTGTTCCAGATACCTTAAACCAGGGGTCTTCAAACTTGGCAACTTTAAGACTTGTGGACTTCAACTCCCAGAATTCCTCAGCTAGCCAAGTTTGAAAACCTCTGCCTTAAACCCTCTGGGCACATGTTGCCAACAGCTACCATAGGGGTCTTCAGACTTGGGCCTTTTATGACTTGTGGACTTCAACTCCCAGAATTCCTCAGCCAGGCACGCTGGCTGAGGAATTCTGGGAGTTGAAGTCCACAAGTCATAAAAGGGTCAAGTTTGAAGACCCCTGAGCTACCAGATGTGGGATGCAATAATCCAGAGGATCACTAGATGGCATCAAAGGGTTTCCTAAATCTTTTTGAGGTCTTCAGATTTTGCAGATCTACATTGCTCTTATTTCTGATGGCTTACTTATAGCCTCCATAAATAAAATTTCAAAAAATACCATTTTTAAAGATGGAAGCCACCCTCACATTAATTTATCATTCCTTGAATAAGGAATTATACAGAAAAAGAAATGATGCAGTAGATATTTAGCTGTGCAGTGGTGAAGTATATACTTCTAAAGTATATTCACATTTAAATATCTGCCTGCTGGTTTTGCTGCTTAGAATTTTACAGATGATATTCTTATTGTGTCAATTTTGTGTTTTTTTGCATGTTTTTTATTTTAAACTGCCTTGGAATCAATGAAGCATAACAAAATGTATTATAAAATAGTTATAGTGATATATCGCAAGTCAAGAAAATCAACTTTTTAGTAAGAGCTTTAATCAACAAAGATTAGAGCAATGTCTGGTTGTTGTTCTTGGCACTTCCAATCGTTTACAAGCTTGAGGATAGAAATAAAGAAGTATTTGACATTCTCATAATTATTCTATTCTTTAATCTTCCCTCATGTTTGCTAACAGATCTCAAAATCCCTTAGCAAAACTTCATGGCTCATCCATTCTAGAGAGACATCATTTGGAATTTGGCAAATTTCTGCTCTCAGAAGAGGTGGGTGACCAATATTTTAAACTGCAGAAGTAATTTGGTGGATCCATATTTGGTTTTTTGAAACTGTGGTTGGTAATAGACACAACTCAAATTTTGATTGGGATTAATAATTGTCTTAAAACTAGAGGTCACAATGCATCTATTAACCCTTTTTCCTTCTCAGATACTGATTTTATAAAAGTCAGTTCCTGAACTCTCAAATAGCATAGCCTGCCTTGGGATTGCATTTAACTTCCATGTTAATATACAGTCAGTAGAAAATAAAATTGATGCATTAACAATTCAACAACTACTTAGGTTCAATTAATCATTCATCAGATGGTTCAAGGCATACACGCACTCTTAACATTAATTGATCGTTTAAGCCAGTTAATTGGGAATTTATGCTAGAGCACTCTATTTCAAAATTTAGATTGTCAGTATTGGAATTAAAAGTGAGGGCATTTCTATGCAAGGACCACTTTGAAAGCAGCATTTCAAGCTGATAAAACTGAAGAAAATTACCTTGAGATAGGAGATGGGACTGAAACTGATGGCAAACTGGTGGAAGTGTCCTGAGGAATAAAAGGCATCAGCACACTTCAAAATGAAGTCTGCAAAACATTTGGAGAATAACCAAAAACATACCTACCCATTTAAGAAATATTTTATCTGAATAAAACACCAGTAAAAAACTTCCTGCTCAATAGTTACAGAGTTAAGATCAATTGGTGGAAAAACAGAAATTGGGAAAATTGGGAGAGGAAAGTTGGGTATCAGAATATAATCCACCTTGTTCTTCTTTATGTTCTTTCCAAATGATGAAGGCGTTTAGTTGCATTTTTTAATATCTTAGCAGACAGCAGAATAGAGGTCATTGAACACAAGCCAGGTAAAATCAGTTCAGCACTAATCTGATCACTTCCCACTGGCTTCTGGAAAATTTTTCATTGGCTTCTGGAAAACCATCAGTAGAAACCCACTATGAGGTGTGAGATATAACAATAGAATAGAATAGAATAGAATAGAATAGAATAGAATAGAATAGATTGGAATAGGAAGGGACCTTGGAGGTCTTCTAAACCAGTGGTTCTTAACCTGGGCGGTACCGCCCCCCAGGGGGCGATTTCATTTTTCAGGGGGGCGATGGAATGAAAAGGGGCGGCGTGGGGGCGATGGAATGAAAAGGGGGCGATAGGGGGCGATGGAGCAAGATGTTTTGGGGACACCTTTGAGCCTTCCCCTGCAGCTCCGAGCGTCCTCCGCCATTTGTAGAGAGAGACAGAGAGAGGCACTTGTGCTTCTCTCTCTCTTTCTCTCTCAAGCGGATTTGCCCCCTCGCAG